TTATATTCGCGATAAAATTTTGAGTCGCTCTTTCGATTTTTTTTTTTCGTCAGCAGGATTTCTAAGGACATGATACTTTTGTGAAACACGATCTGAAAGAAGTGTTGAAGTGTATAGGATAGCAGTTTTGGACCCACTTCCCTCCCACTCCCCCCCCCCCTCCACAGACCGTGACAGAGAAACCCCAATACTGATCATAGACCGTGACAGAGAAAACCCACTACCCATCACAGACCGTGACAGAGAAAACCCAGTATCTATTACAGAAATAGATAGACCGGTTCTTATATGGAGTGCGATTAAATGTCGCTAGAATTTCATGGAAATATGTCAGCTGCTTCCTTTTTCCAGCTCCAGAGGAATTAATAAACAATGATTTATTAACGGATTCGAAGATATCCAAGAAAACATATTCGTGCGACTAGTAACAACAGCCGCGTCGTGTTTCACATTTTAATCCCGCAGAGATTGCGCTAACAGCATTTTGTAGAAATATGGGGTGATTTCGACTACATTTGTGTATAATTTGAATTGAAATCCTTCGGAAGTTTGATAAAAAAAGATAACGAAAAACAAAATGTCAGCTTAAAAGCAGTCATGAATGAGTTCTTCGAACTTAATAGCTGTTACATAGATAGATACTCCTGATACCACTCTATCAAATAGTGAAAACCGCAGGTCTCTATTCCTTTTTGTTTTCGAGTTATTTAAAATTGAAACATACATAGAGAGACAAGGATCGCCCATACTACTATATCGTTTGTGGTTAATCCTTTGACGGATGATGAGATATATATGTCTTACTTTTTGTTTTCGATTGCAGAACTATAATAAACTAGGATCAATGACTTTGACAGAAAGAACGATGATACTATAGTGACCTCGTTACTTATTTTGTATAGCACGTGATTGTTGCACCATTCGTTTGATATAAAAACAAGGATATGAGCGTGGATGTGAACGTGAATCTTCTATTCATACCTGAGAACACTCACAATTTCGTGCACAATGATCTAGATCACGATCTATTTGACTGCATCATTAGCATCGGCAGAACTTAGCTATCCAAAACTCGCCTGTCAAATGGTTAATGCCCATTATAACAAGCCTTATGCTCATCATAATCCAAAATAATTTTGTTGATTTTGCACATTTTTCACTTCCTATTTCGTTGTAAGCGGAATTAATAGCATATTTGAGATTGTCCGACAAAATTACATTATCGCATCTCAATGTTTTTCTTATATTCGCGAGTTATTCAAAAACTAGGAAACTCTAAAAAAGTGTACAGAATTCTATACGTTGGTACTCAATGTGTTAAATATAAAAACAAAAATTTGAATCTTTTATATTAGGTATGCGTTTAACATTAGTTGATACTGGTGATCCAATTGAAGATTCAAACTTTGAAGAAGAAATGGCTGAAGCACAATTTTTATGTTTTTATACATTTATTGAATGGATGAAAGAAGTACTTGATATTAATTCAGTTGATATCGAAGAAGAAGATGATGATTCAAAAAATTCATCAGTTATCTATTGGATTAAAGATAAATTACATCTTTCGTCTAATTTAGATAATATTAATGAAGAATTTAGTAAACATCAAAAAATAAATTATCGAACAGATACGAAATACAATTACTATGATCATGTATTTGAATCAGAAATAAATCGTGAAATACAATTAACCGAAGAAAATTATAAAAAAATGTTATGTAAAGATGTTCTTAAATATGAATTTTTTGAATTACAAACAGCACGTGATAATTTTATCGAGAATTATGTTCCGAAAGTGAACAAATGAATTTACATTTAATTAAACGATTTATTGAAGTACAAGTTATTTTATTAGTATCTATTTGTCCACATATTTGTGATTATGTTTGTCAATTTCTTCATCCTAGTACAACAATTATGAACGCTAAATGGCCAACAGCTGGTAAGAAAAGATTTCATACAAAAAGAAAAAAGGAAACATCAACTTAATTTTTTTTCCTATTGAAATAGGTAAAGTCGATCAATCATCATGACGACCAACACATACAATAATATTTATTGCACATTCATATCCATCACGGTAAATATCTGTTATTAATGAATTAAAACAATTATATCTTTCGAATAATCATTCGTTACCTGATGATAAACAATTAGCAATTTATTTTCAAGACCGTTCAGAAATTGGTAAAAAATATCAAAAAAAAATTAATACCATTTGTAATTGATTCTAAAGAATTATTAGAAAACAGTAATGATATAACATCATTAGATCAATATTTATCATTTGATGAATATGAAATTTTACAATTAAATCAAAATTATCTTCGACGTACACTTAATGTCGAACAACTTGATATTCGTTTAACTGATGATAATAACACGGATACAACAATGTTAAATTATTTAGAAGATATCGTACCTGATAAACCATTTGTACACCTTCGTCATTAAGCATTCATGTTATAGTGTATTCTCTTCGAACACATATCTCGATATTTTCTTTGATGTTCTCTTATTCATTTCATTCGTTTATTGTCTGTCTTCGCTTATATAGCTGGACTTGTTTTCTGTTTTATTATCGCATATATAAAGTTTGATTATTTTTGAAATAAATAGAGAGACAAAAAGATCGAATCTGTAACAGACTGCCAGCGTTCGTACGTAAAACGAACGCTAACAATTGATTAGTGGTGGATCTAAGATTTTTATGATTGAGAACGACCATGATCCTAAAACATGTATTGAAGTTCATTAGAAATAGTATCAGCTAATATATAACCTTTTTCTGCTAGGAAAACTCGAGTGAAATGCTTTTGGAAGGAAGGCGATCGCTCTCATCCTTGAAAAAACGTTTATAACAAAAGAACGATCGATAACGCATTTTTCAGATGATAAAACGTGTTCTGAAGCATTTTTCGCTTTGTTTTTGGAACATATCCTGAAGACGCTTTTAATGTTCTTTTGAAGCGTGTTTTAAGGATATGAGAAAGTGTTTTTTCGCAAAAACCGGCTTCAGAACACGTTTTATAATTTGGAAAATGCATTATCGATCGTTCTTTTTTTTATAAACTTTTTTTTCATGGATAATAGAAAATTTTAGATTTCCGAAAGAATAATACTTTCAACCTCACGTCTTCGTGAAAAAGTATGTAATTTTAAAAAATCCATATCTATCACAAGAGGAAAAACTATAACTACCGACCATTTACTCAAGGATTTCCACTAAAAACAAAAAGACGAAATGGTATGGTGTGGCTTGTGCAATACAAGTAAATCGTGCGGATTTTGGTAGTCTTTTCTCTTATATACTCACATTCAGATCTTTGAAAATCCTATAATATGTCGCTTTGATTTTGTCGACCTCTCGATGAAAGATTAAAATACGAAAAGTTCTTCAATGATTTACTTTATTTTGATTCATGTTGATCTGAGTATATTCATTCCGAGTTCTGTTTCTACTGGATATTTTCACATAATAGCTACTTCGAATTTAATTTGCAAGTCTATTTTCAATTCTAACAATGCTTGCTATTGTGCGTAGAAATTGGATTATTATGATAAAAAAAAATGTTAAAAATATTTGATTCTATTCGTAAATTGGAAGCGCGTTGTTTCCTATTCATTTCAAGCCAATCACTGTGTATAAATCATCAGGACTATTTTGAACTACAATTTATATTACGACACGACAAATTATCCGAATAATCCATCTTATCTTACAAATGATTCAGATGGTAACCATCTCTTTGATTGTGTATGCTACAATAACTTAGTTCGATAATCAATGTCATTTATGAAAAGTTCCTATTAGAATCACATTAAACATAATGATCTTTCTTGCATTTAATTTTAACTAATTATAGAAAAACATGTCATGTTAGAATTTTCATAGAAATTCATATTGAATAAATTATAGCTTTTTTATAAATCTAAAAAATCTTATTCAACTAGATGTTGTTTTAATGTAATCTAATCAACTGAAAACTTTTTATCATGATTAATTGAATTAAAAAAAGAAAACTTAAAATATAATGTCTAAGCAAAAAATGAGTCTGCATTATATGGTTCTGCATTGATCGATTCTTTCTTCATTCTGATACCCATGATAGCAAAAAGGCCTACGATTGGTCGTTGATCATTTTGTTGATTAGGTAGATCTTTCAAGTGCCTAAAAAACAATGGTCCATACAACGTTTCTTCATCTGGATGAAATACAAAAACATGTTTAGGTCTTAACGTTTGATGTATATAATTTACTAATGCTTGTTTTGTAGCTTGATCATTTGTTACTGAATTATACTCAAGAATTAGATGACGAACACGTCTTTTACGAAAAAGATCCTGTCCAGAACGAAGTACATTCAATCCAAAATTGTCGAAATCAATTTTTAGTATATATATTAATGATGACCATGCAATATTATCAAATTGAACAGTTTGAACTGTGATGGGAGTTATTAAATTTTTTGTATTATAATTTGAAGATCCTTCTAGAAAAGTACTATTCAAAGGCGTGTCACCAATAGCATTATAAAAGAGATGGACAGGAGGTTGTGTAAATTCATTAACTGCAATTGAAATTTGAAGAAGAGCAATCACTTCTGGTTGCCTCTCAAACATGTAAACAGAACAATTACATGCTGCAGCATAAAGACCAAAATCACCTGAAATTAGACAAGAAAAAAATTTTCGCTTTAATTAAATCTTGTTGAAAAAGATTTCATTAGAAAATTTTTCTTATAGTTATTTATTTTCTGAAAGAATTTGTTCGATTTGACATTTTAAATATGTTAGTTTATTCAAATTGAGAATCTAATAAGAAATAATATGTGAGATTCTAGAATACTATTTTACCTAGATTAGCACCGACATCGACAACAATGAGTGATGTATTTGTTCTACATGTATCATGGAGACGTACAATTTCGAATAATTTAGTTCGTGCCCCACCAGTGAAAGGTTTACTACCATTTCGAGTAGCCAGTTGATATAATGGCGTTCGATCATCCATGTCAACTACAATTTCAAAAGGAGTTGTAGTAGTAGTAATAATAGTAGTAGTAGTAATTTCAATAGTTGTAGATTCGGTTGTACTTTCAGTTGTAGTTTCATATTGAGCGAAATTTCCGATCATTGATTTTAAGCGTTCGAATGACGATGACTGTATTGATAATTTATAATCAGTAAAAAAATAAATATGATAAAATAAACCAACGACAATTGGAATACTTAGTATAAATAAAATATTAGAAAACTTTTTCAAAATCCAAGTAATATAATTCAAGATATCAGAAAATTTTCGTTCTTGTAATGCATATGTTGGATTTTTGGTAGTCATTATGACTAGCTATTAATGAAAATAAAAAAAAGAACAGAATGTGATTATATATGACATTTCGGAAAATTCTTATAACAATTAACATTTCTCTGCAATCATTCTAATAATTACAACTCGTCTAAAATTTATAACTATTTAAATTTGTCAATAATATATGAACGATAGAAATCCTTCTTTAAATCCTACATATGTTTATGGTGTACTTTTTCGTAGATTAGTTTAATATACTTACATTCAGAAATTTATAATGTTGATATGAATATCAACAAAAAAACAGATAATAGGGTAAATTTTTTTTTGAAAAAGTCGGAGTTCAAAAAAAAAATATTTCCAAGAAATGTACTCTTTATAATAAACTATAGTCAAAATATATCTAATTTAAGTAAAACCATCGTCACATAAGTATAATTTATTGATCTAATAAAAAATTGTAAGTTGTAATATTAAAAATTGTAGAGCCATGTCAATTATTATAAATATTTGAAGACACAAATCAAATCTTATGGTGAGATTGTTATAGAAATAAAAAGTATTACATATGCGCATCTATATTCGAATGCATATGTAGTATGTTGATAAAATGAAGGCAGTCATGGTTCATTAAATATATGATTTCTTTTTTTTTTTGTATTCCTGTTCATGTACCAATTAAGATTGACAGAAAACCTTGTTGCTTTATACATGACAATGTTCTGAAGCGCAAGCATTATAAAAATGAAGGATACGAAAATGCAAAATTTTAGTAATATGTCATCGATTGAATATTTTTACAAGATAAAAAAAGCATCATCACATTTTATTTCAATATAAATCTAGTTAAAAGTAAAACTACCTGGTATTGTACCTTTTTTTTCTTTCGCCTCGATAAAGAGTAAATCATAAAAATGAATAATATTCATCGTCTTCATTTATATTTTTTTCAAATTATTATCATCACCTATACTTGTCAGGAATATAAACGGTGTCCTGTAATAACTGATAGTAAATTACTAATGATATTTTTTATACTTTTTCGTGATGTAGATGACTGAAACTTTTATCATATATATATATCTAATCAAGATTTTCCATTTCTGAAAGTTTCAACCCTCTAACTATGGCTAATGGTGAAAAACATCAATTTTCATACTTGGTTTCGGCATTTTATGTTGAGTACGAAAATTGATGTATTTCAATCTTGTCGATGTATTTCATAAGTGGTTATAGCTAGAGAACTGAAATTTTCACAAATAAAAGACAATGATTCTTTTTAACATCTTTTATATTTTAGTGTTTTATGTTAAAATGTATTTTTTTTTTCATAATCTTTTAAGAAAGAGTTTATTTGCTCAAATATAATTTGTTTGTTTTTTATTATTAAAAGGGTTTATATACTTTTTTTTTATGTAGATAATCTATTCGTAAATGATGCATCATAGAATTTTGAGAAGTTGCTCTTTTGAAAATGCTGATCAAAAGCAATTTAACATGAAAATATCATGAAAAATATTTAACAACGAAAAACAAACTTGTTATGTGTAGGTGGATGTTTAGATGCGTCTGACTTCTGCTTTCTCCCTTTTTTTGGAAATGTTGGTTTTTTGCTTCTCCTCTTTTTCCTAGAAGTACTCTATGGATAATCCTCTTATCTTATTTTTCATCTGAATGTTGGTCATACATTTTATATTATTCAAGATGCTTTTCTGTGTGTCATACTCATTCACGCAAATGCTGACTAAATGCAATCTATTGGAATTGTTACTAGAGAATATATTTAATGGGATTGGCAAGTGCTGTTGGAAATAATTCAATAGGTAAGTCAATGCTATAGTTTTTCTGGCAGACAATATCATTGCTCTTTAGATTTCACCTGTTGCTCATACCCACAATTAAAGTTTGATGTTAGACTTAAGCTGAGAGTCGAATATTGATGCTGAAATGAGAAATATAGTTCAATGGGTCAAAAAGATCAAACGTCATACTACTATTGCTTTAATAAGATTTTCTTCGAGTTTCATAAGAATCTTGGAACAAACGCTGCAAATGTTAATTTACGAGAGACGATAGTTGGTGTCCTCGTTTAAAGATCATAATCGATGCCAGAGATATGGTGAACTCAAGATAAAGTCTATTAGAATCATTTAATCATGAAATAAATTGATTTGCTATCTTTTCTAAATTCGTGACACACCTATCAATCGAGAAAGTAACTCTTATGTGAATTCTAGAAATTACTGTCCGATCGACCATTACAAAGTTCATCGCATAAGTGTTTTTGAGATATTTGATTGTACCACTTTTCCAGGTCGAAGCTTTTGTCATTGAGAAACAAGCAGATTTTGCTGGAATCGACTGAAAAAATAAAAGAAAAACCGTCATGTTCGGTCTGAAAATACTGGAAATCGATGAAACGTAGAGGCAGCATTCCGGACTGGAATGTCTCCGGTTCTAAATACTGCTTCTACGTTCTATCAATTTCCAGTGTTATCCTACTAGAACTAGCTCATATGTTTCCACTTGGATCAATGAATAATATGAGTCGAATGGCATTGTCGAACAATAATTTGTCTTGTTTGGAAGAATGATCATGAATAACAAGTGGCAGCATAGTGTAAGTTTCTTGAAAAAAGTTGTTTGAAAGGTTTCATATTAGGAATACTTTTCATGACTGATTGAAAGATATTCTACATTGCTTGAGTACATCCGTTTCTTGAAAATTGGAAATTATATAATTATATTAGTGCTAAAAGATTTGATTGAAAATAGAACATGATTTAACATAGTCATCTCTTCTGTCTATCCGAACAAATTTTCTCTCAAAATTTTCTCTCTTTCTGTTAAGACTTTTTCTTTTATATACCAAAATCCGAAGTTTCAGCATCTGTGAAAGTTACGTAGAAGTTTAAAAATTTGCGAAATTTTTATCTGAGGTGCAGCTCGCCAAACTATGATCACAAATAACAATTCAAGACTGATCAACTGAATGAGTATGAAATTCTAAATATAATACTATTCTAAAATGAGTTGATCTCAGTTTTAGTCTTCACTGAAACATCACTGAAATTCTAAATAATTTATGAAATTTTACAATGCTTACTTTCGAATATGATATTTGTTCAGTCGAAGAACTGAAAAAAGCAAAAAAAGAACATTTGTTTCATAGATGGCATCGGTATCGATCTGGATTTCGGATCGATCGGTCCAAACCGGTCTACAACAGTCTAAATTTTTACTTTCCTGATCTATAATTGTATCTATATAAAAAACAATAAGTGAAACCAAGCCTAATCTCGCTGATCACGTAACAATTAGTTTAACAAATAGTTTAGAGAACGTTCTCAATGAAACTATTGTTGTCAATAGCCAAGGTTTATGCTAGTATGTGGCAAGCTATCGATTTAACTCAAAACAGTTCACTATGGAGCGAGATTTCATTTTAAGGCTCGGTCTGTTTCCTGTATATCGGTATATTGTCGGTAGGTCAGCATTCAATGATGGCCTGACATATCACGAGTATCTCGTTTATTACGGTTATACCGGCCAGTCCGGTCTGAAAAAAAAATTAGATCGGTTCTATCTATGATTTGTTTATTACTGTCAATTTTGACATGACTTTAGTGTACCATCAGAGTGGTTATTTTTTTAACTTTTGTTTCTCTAACCAATAAGTGTGAGGTGTACAACAAATAATGTCGGTGTCTTTTTATTTTCTAGATTGTGAAGCCATAACCTAGTCCATTGCTGAGCAAGAAAAATACGGTATATAAGAGATACTCTAATTAACGAAATCGAAGAAAGTAGGTCAAGAGTTTATTCGCAACCATTATGACAACTGTCCATTATTTTGATCTAACAATACACTGTCAAGAATCATCATTCGAAATATATCGAGTATGTGAACTAGCTGAAGATATTATGAATTTCAGAAGTCTTTCTGATATTTTGTTTCACATGAATCTATTTAGTGAAATATTTTGCATAATGAAGTTATCAATTCGATTTCGAGTGTGTTTGAAAAGATAATTTTTAAAAGTATACTGACTCAAATAATTATTGTGAAAATAACCCACTTGTCTTGGTACATTCGCATTTTTTTATTAATTTTTCCAGTTATGTGCTGAATGAGACAATTAGAATCAAATTTTTACTGAATTTTAAAGTGTAGTTTTTACAATGCACGTCTCATAGAGAGTATACAATAGTAAATCTTGACACGGAATGTCTTATTTGATGCTACTATTTCGTAATCTATTAGTTTACATCTGTTAAATGAATATGTGTTTGTATATTTTTCTTTAATAAATTCGTAACTAGAAAGTAATAAACAAAAAAAGCAAAGAAAGAAAAAAAAAAGATTGCATGGCACGTCTTTAAACAAAAAGAGACAGTCATCAAAACTTGTCGGCCGATTGAAAAAGTGGTTCATCAGGTATTTTGACCGTCTGTATTGCACTTTTCTTTATTACTGAAACATAAAACATTAGTCGATCATATGACTCTTGATTTGAAATAGCTCGATGAATAGTACCAAAATCCATTTTGAATATAGTAAACGGTTTTGCAACACATTGACGAACCGAATAATAATTTCCATCTTTTAACAATCGACTTACATCGACACAATCAGGATTCTGTATTGCTTCTGATAATATAGTCGAACTGGTTGACGGTGATGGTATAATATATTGTAAAGCGTTATTATGCGAAATTTCAGTTAATGGAATAAATATTGTCGAATAATCGGTTGTATAATCAAGATGAAATGCTTGTGCTTGTGAACTAGCAGGATTTAGAATATATCCATATCCATCCAAAAGAACTTCATTAACATCGTAATATTTAGCAATCCATGAATGAACTAATTCATCTAACTTTTGACTTTGATCAAATTCAATCATAAGTCCAGTCTTTTCTCCTGATCGTTTCCAAATATTAATCCAGAAGACTTTACATTGTGATACAACTAATTTATATTCTGCATGAAGTTTCAATTGTAGATCAATATAAATATCTTGTAATAATTTTTGATAAACAGTTGCTAATGTTCCATAATGAATAAGTCCACCCATGACTGATGTTGTTACATCATCATAGACAATTTCATCAGCACTTGGCTTAACTTTTTTTGATACTTCAACCCAAGATCTAATTATATGAGCACCATATGCAGCTTCACACCAAATATAGAATACAGCAGGTACAAATAATAAATAACGATTTAATAAAAATAACGTCAATACAATGTTCAATTCTTCTAATGATGTGTATACATTTGTCGTATTAATTATTTCATAATATCCATAACAATATTCTAATGTTCGAAAGACACAGTAGAATGGATAAGCAAGCCAAAGAAATGTACCGAAAATTGTATATTCATTCTCTGGCATTGTCCATTCAAGAATAAGAAAAAATCCACTTTGACCTTTCTTCAGTTTCGGATAACGAGCTGTGGCTGTAACAGAAAAATCAAATAATCCTGTACTAATTTCAACCGAAGTGGCAACAAGAAGCCAAGGAATCACAGTATAATCATATCGAGCCCACCAAGCCATTATAACTACTACACCAAGTATATCAGCAAGCCAATCAATGCCAGAACCGAATATACAACATTGATTGTATGAACGAGCAATTGGACCATCAATCCAATCTAATAGAATTGAACCCAATATGAGAAATGCAGTCAATAGATGCCATTCGGTAGTAATAATAAATCCTGCTACGATACACATAATAATACGTATATAATCAACAATATTTGCATAGAAGAATTTGATTTCGGCAAATGTAACATGGTCATCTAAGTCATACACCAATTGTGGAACCCATTTACCACCGCGATAAATGAGATATTCCTGGGTGGGACGAGCCATGTGGATAAGATTAAACTGGGTCTGAAATGACGAAAGAGTATAGATTGACAGAAAAAAAAAGTAAAGAACATCTCGACATTAAACATGAAGATTTACATATTTCTTCTTTGTTTTCAACAATATCCACAATCAAATAGGATTCACAGTTTTAAAAAGTATCATCACAATTGTCGAATTGTTTGAGTTAAAATTGAAGAGCAAAAGTTCTACAAGCATTCAGTATCATCATGATTAACTATAATGATTCATTTTGTTGAATTTTTTTTTCATATATGACTTTGAGTTCTCAGAAAATCGTGAATATTTGCTTTAGACTATTTACACCTGTGTCATTTTTATGAAAGGTCTTATTTGATGCTTTTTTTTCTCTATTTATTGTTGGCTTTAACATTTACTTTCTGGTATTAGTCAAAAGGGCGAATAAAAAAAGTCTCTACATGTCTTTATATGTGTCTGTAAGTTTAACCGTATAAAGTATACACGTGAACCGGTTTTTTTCTAGCTACTACTGGTTGGTTCGTAAATACATGACTGTTTCTATTCACAAGTTCCTTATATTTATCTATGACCTTTTCATGATGACGAAAACCTTAAAAAAGGCATATAAACGAATTAAAAATGACTTTTTAAGCACATGAGATTTATAGAGTCAATAATAGTAAAAAAAACGTATTTTTCATACATCTTTGCTTCATCCCGTACATCGTCGTTATTTTCAGACCATACATTTTCTTTTATATTATGGGAAAGAGAATCAATTTCTGCAACTACTTAAATATAGAAAAAAGATTTGTAATTACCAGAATAGTGAACACTGTTTTGCTTTTCACACCGAAAAATTTTACTATAGCAACCTTTAGAATGATTAAAGTCACTGATGACGAATGACTCAAGCAAACATGATAACTATTTTATTTAAAGTATTTCTCTTCGTTTGACCTTTGAATCTTCATGAGAACAAATACTGAAAAAGTTGATTTTCAACACACAAGCAACATAAAAAATACATATCGATTCAGAATTCATTATAAAGAAAAGTGATATTGACTTCATCAATGACCACAGTTGTATATACTGATTTTCGAATCAAAAACAAAATGTTTTATAAACTGAAATTCTAATCTTCATTTAGAGAAAGACGATTTTTTATATGATAAACCATAGTTCACTTCCAAAATAATAACGAAACCCATCGATCTATACTTGTAATCTGTCAAAAGTATTTCTGTCATTCCTACATATGACATTATAAATAGGAAATTGTTTATATGTTCATTGTAACAGATTTACTAACGGATACATTCACTTTTGCAGCCTCACACACAAACATAAAATATTTCGCATGTGTCCTACTTTGCAACACAATGTATGACACATTAAAGTAAGACATGTGATTCTCGTTATGGCACATTTTGAAAATGTGTTTCGACTCTACCTTCCAGCACGACTGTACTTTTTTGCTCCATAATCAAATAATTACATTTCTATTTTCACGTTTAATCTGAATTAGTACTACTTGTTCTTAGAACCCAAGACAGTAAGATCATAAGATCTAGTTAATCTAAATGGGTGCGATCTCAATCAGACTCATTCGAACCAGTCTATTCTTGAACACCGATCAATTCCCCAACGTATTCTTGAGTATGACTAATCGAAAAATAATCTAGAATAAAAGACATGTAACAATCTATAAATTCAGTATGTTCCACAGCGTCGCATGTGTGAATCTGCAAGCGCTAAACAAAACAATGAATGAATGATGAGCCAATACACTACGACACAATCACGAGTAAAATTAAAATATGACACATTTTATTTTAGTGTGCAATTACTTTCTGTATCCTCATTTTTTTTTCTTTTCTTTTTTCCCTTTTCATGCGTACATCAAAAGTCTCGTGTTCTTTTATTGTGTATTAGTCATTATTAATCAGTTGTCCTTGTTCCTTCTCTTTATATTATTTCCCATATTAAAATAAAATGTGTTGCAGTGTAATGACTACATCATTCATTGATCGTTTTTGTTTAGCGCTTGCAGACTCATAGAAGTATCGCCGTTGAACATACTGAAGTTATAGATTGTGACATGTCTTTTATTCTAAATTATTTCTTGATTAGTCATATTCAAGAATACATTGGGGAAAATTGATTGATGTTCAAGAATGGACTGCTTCGAATGAGTCTGATCGAGATCACACCCATTTAAATTAACTAATATCCATTTTTAAAAAAAAGGCGCTCCGGGAGAATGCTTATAGCTTTTGAACGAAAAGTGATAGAGACCTGCGGTTCAGAGTTGTAACCGGTCAAGAAAAATTAGACCGGTCCGGTCCGGCCGGTGGGCTGCCGGTCTAAAAAAAATTTCTAGACCGGCGAAAAACCGGCGATTTTATAATGTTGTTCAGTGAAGAAAATTTTTATCATGGTAACAATAGGTACCTATACGAGTCCTTTTTATGTGTTGTGAAGATAGCATAGCTCAGTACATTTTTTTAATATCACGAGACTAAGCTAGTTGGCAATGAAGTAGATTCTTCATGTGAAAAATTTGAAGAACATTTTTCAAAATTGAATTTCGTTGTGCGAAAAATGATGTTCTTCCATGCAAATCAATCTGCCATTTTTATTTCTCCTCTTGTTTCAGTTCAAAATTCATATAAAACAATATATACAAATATAGTAAAAACAAAAACTCAAGAGTATGAATAGCAAAAAAACAAAAAAGCATGAATTATTACATATTTAATCTTAATTACATATTTAATCTTACTCATACTTAATCATTTAAAAAAAGTATTATTATTATTATTATTATTATTATTATTATTACTATTTTGGTGTAGGCCACATCTTGTTTAACAATGCTTCTTTTAATACCACCACTGATTCCACACATTCAGGATCCAACTGGGATCTTTCTTCTGTAACAATTTGTCCAGCCATTGAGAAATGTCGCTCAGATTCTGCTGAGGACGCTTGTATAACAAATACAGATTTCGCAATATTGGATAGAATTGGCAGAGTTTGTTGTTGTTCACGCCAAAATAACAATATATAGATGGAAACATACGTATTGGGAATGAGATTAACTACATATACAAACTATTCATTTGCAATTATCGATCCGTTTTGCAAATAATTTCAAATAATAATTTTCATCAGGAAAGACATTTTCAAGATGATATTATGTCAAACAAATTGATTTTAATTGAATTAATCAACTGATTACGGTGTTGTAGAATCAAATATAAGTGTTGTAGCTAGATAAAATATTAATAGAAAAAGATTAATTACAATGAGAAAAGTCGGGTTAATCAAACGACAAAGAATGACGAAATATGGAAATTTATACAAGTAACATTGTTCATTGATTGAAATATTGAAGATCTCAAAATAAGGAAGATATCATCTTCAAAGGTATTTATCATGTGTTGTTTTTCTCCATACGTGTACATATGTTGATGACTACAAAAAACGTCCATGTGATTCGATTTTGATAGTATGACGCCTGTTCATACACAAACTGTTAATATTACTTTTGATAGTTGTGGTCAATTTTTTGAATTTCATTAAAAACTTGAAAGTTTATCGTTTCGCTATGTTTACATAAAGTATGTACAAATTCTGATATCATTGACGAATTATGAGTTTTTCTAATCGATAATAGTAAATGACTCAAATATACGTATGATACTTTTAATGAATTTTCAGAATCTTGTTCCAGTTTCTGCTTATAGAGATGTAGGAGGTAATTGCAACATACGATTTAATCTCACCAAAGGAGTTAACTTATGTAGTCTGAGCATACAACTAGTACTATACTATTCTATTCGCTAAAATACATCATTAAACTATCAAAAGAACTAAACCCTAATTGGTCCATAAACGATCGCAAATATATTGTATTTATTCTCTAAACGAGCGTTTTATGTCCTCCTGACGCTCGTGTCTATCTATAGTACTTTGTATCAGTTGTGGAATTTTTTGAAAGACGAACGAAATATCACACACTATTGAGACCTAGAAAAGCAACAAATTTTAGTCCTCACCAGACCATAAGCGATATAAGGATCGGAGGTGGGAAAACTCTCTGGGAGCGCCAAAATTTAATAAGAAAACTATCGGTGTTAAAAAGATTAAAGAAATTAAAGGAGATACAAGAAGTAAAAGAAATAAAGGGGTTGAAGGAGTTAAAAGATATCATAATTTTAGAATACCAAAATAAATCTAGATAACTTTAGTTTCTTTTGAACTTTGCTCACATGCATTTTAGATGAACAATGTATCGCGTTTCGTGTGAAAGCATTTCAACGGATCTCTAGCAAGGCCAAAACCATCGTAATGCTCGCTTCTAATTTCTACATTGCAAACTCACTCCCTTACCTTCAAGTACACAACAATAGAGCGTCCACGTCATAATAGAGTGTACACGAACTAACAACTTTCCTCTCCTTCACTCCGAATATGAAAATTTGATTTTTCTTGACGATTCTGCTGCTTGAAAGATTTTCTATTGGAGGTCAAATATCAAGGATACTTTATTTTTATTGAAATCAAAATGTAGTAAAAGTTATCATGCACTTTCCTCTCTTTTTCTCTCTCATACAATCACAGTCGATAGATACGACAAGCATTGTCATGAAATATACGTTCAATTTCTTGTTTGCTTAATCCTACTTCCTTGGCCACTTGCAAATTGACTTCAACAAGTTGTCCGAATGTTGCATGAAGTTTATCAACTGGAAAATTTGATGCAAAAAGACATCGATCGACGCCAAATACATTCAATGTGTATTCCAAAAAGGGTCGAAGAGATTCGACTGTCCAATTATGTTGAAACATGACAAGACCACTTAGCTTACATGATACATTAGGCTGTTGAGCCAAGGCAGCCATACCTGCTTTCCATTGATTTATTGAGACCATATTATCATAGGGCATACCTAAATTCAAAATAAATCAAATAGGTCCAATATTTTTGTGAAACTTTTCTTGATGCTCATAAATTAAAGATAAATGTTTATGTCAAAGATTGGTAGAAGATTTATGAGAGATTTTTTTATGATCTACAGATGTCTCATTTGTATCTCACGGCAGAAAATACTCAAGCTATTGAAACAACGATGATCTGAAACTGTACTTTTCAGCAGAGATTTGCAGTTCACAGAAAAAATTCAACACAAGGTGATCCAGTTCGGAGCAGAACTAAGAAAGGAAAGAGACGGATAAATATGAGTATGGGAAGCGAAGAGCAGGTACTTTTTCACAAGATAATGGTGCAACGTGACCAATACTCAGTAGATGGGAATCTCTCTCATTGTGGCCGTTTCTTTTCTGATGCTGAGATCGTTTTAGTGAAACAAAGAATAACTTTAATATCTGTTTGATATCAATCTTCGTCAATGTACTATTGATTTTGCTCTCTATACCAAATGATTAAGACACATACATTATTGATCGAGGAATAGATTTATATACCGAAAAGTATACATCATATTCCTGTGTTATTGCCTTCTGTCGAGTGTTTTTCAGTCTGACTCTCGCTGCGATCAAAATGATATATCACAAGAATATACCCCTATAATAGAGAAAAAGGTTCTACTAAGTTGAATTGTAATGAGAATGTATACTTCGCGGAGCGAAAACTATCGTACTATCCCAGTTTTCATATAATAATCTTTCCTAGTAACTAATCTAACACACTGTTTTCGGAGATATGACTCACCACAATGATCAAGAATGATAGTTGTGTCTAAGTTTTCCCGTGCGAGCTGAGCAGCATCATTCATCTGATGATGATAGATTGCTAAATCAAACGACAATCCATACTGATTCAATAAACCAAATCCTTGTTTCCATTTATCATCAGTCAAATAATCAGGTCGATCACACAATGTGTATTTACTCTCCTTGCTATCTAACCAATTGATCAAGTGTCGAATACCTCGCACTTTATCAAATCGATTCGTTAACGTCGCAAGTCTTTCACGCACTTGGTCATCAGCCAAATTAGCATGTGCTACTAGCACATTGGGTAGTTGATTCTTATTTGTCTTGGCTTGTTCATATAGCCATTCAATATCACCCCATGGATCGGCATGTATATCATAGGCTGCTTCAACATGTACTGATTTGACCACATTATATGGGCCAGTATCCTTGATATAATCTTGAATTGAATAGGTTGATTTGAGAGGCCTGCGATCGCCTGCTATAAAATCATTGGGTGTGTCCGGGCGCAAAAATGTATAGTGATGATTTGGATCACTCAAGTTCCACAAATGATGATGAGCATCGACAATAGGTAAAGTAGTGGCAGATATATCATTGTTTGACATCTAGAGCATAAAATAGAACTTGTTCTTTTTTTGGCTAAGAACATCGTTTCATACTGATTTGAAAAAGATAAAAACCTACACGTTTCTTCTTTATCCTTTCTCTTTCAGTAATTGCATTGGTATATTAAAAATATTAACTGATATATGACTTTCAAAATGCATGTTTTGGGTTTGCATCATTCGTTCATTGTATGTTCAAATTTTGCGATTCAGTCAAGTGATTCGATGCCTCGTTGATCTCCAATCGACTAGGTGCAAGGTTGAATTCGAGTATTTGTCAGTTATATTTTTTTCGTGCAAAACTGATCATTCTCAAACCAAATATAAAATCATTGTCCTGCCCAAAATTTTGAGCTGGGATTTTGTTACTCACATAACCACCGAAATTTTATCTCTCTGCTTCTGTAATTGCACTGCCCTGATAGTGGATTAAAATTTCCTCTAGAGCTAATACTGACTGAATTTATCATAGCAACAGTCGAAATCCTGCTCATTATTTAAAGAAAATATCCGAAGCCTTTCAACAGATATCTAATCACAATTTCTACGTAAGCTTTGTATTTCCTTTGTCGTCCATTTACTAGCAACGAACGTTTTTCTTCCTCAAACGAACTTTTATATTTTTAGCGTTTTCGGAACTATTGTCGCTGCTGAATTTTTTATAAGAGCTCCAAGTTTTATATACCTTGTGTGACTAAAATTGTGTTGTTTACGTCTCCGTGTCTAAATCGGTTTTATTTACTTCTCCGTGTCTAAATCGGTTTTAAATGATCGAGAAACACGTGCTCTTTTCTATCTCGTTATCATGCATGAGTGATAATTATGTATTTTATTGCTCTTATACAAGAAACATATTGCAGATAAATGAGACAAGATAAAACAAGGACACCGTACTGCTGTCATTTTAGTTTCTATCGTCCGTTATTATAGCGGATTGTGTCAATATTCTATATGCATGTGGACATGGTAAGTTGTGTGACGAACGATGGGAGAAAAGCTGAATATAAGCTAATGACATAAAGGTAAGAGAACACATGATGATAATTTTATCGTCTTCCTCTTTTGTCACGAACGATCACACGTTAATATAGCTTCTGTTCTTGCTTGATTTCTTGCTCCCTCAACGTTTTGTTTTGATGATGAGTCATTGTTCGAAAAAGCAAGCAAGAATAAATCCAGCAATGGTTCTGAGTTCAGAGAACGCATCGAAAAGATCAGACTTACAATGAAAAAGAAGAAAGGAGTACACCAAGTAACTATAACCTTGACAGTAAGATAAACGGAGTTCTTCTATTCCAGGTGTCGCAGAAACAATCCATAAAGACAAAATCCGTTAGTAAGTCCATTAAATAGTTTATTATACTATAGCGTTTCTATGTAGATGAAGACTGAAAGATTTATAACGACGAAATGAAAAGAAATATCGCACAAATAACGTCTAAAATAAACATAAACAAAAAGTTTTTATCGACAACAAAAACAATGGTAAAGAAAATAGATATCTATCATATAATCATATTGTCGTCAATAATTTTGAAGTAATGCTAGCTTATGACGATCTTTCAATACAAACGAATAACGAAGATTTGTTGGTGGCAGTGAACATCGTTGCTTTCGTCGTATATAACCTGCAACACTAACAGTTGACTGACATTGAACTGAAGAGGAAGGGATAACATTAATTCGATGAACAACGGCATCCATTATTGGCAACCATTTCTCTTAAGTACTTCAGAAATGAGAAAACTTCACTTGTTCATCGACATTGACAGATGAAACAATAAAATCCAATTTCTTCATCAAAAGGCCATGCTGGTTTTTAAATGATGGTCCAACACTACAAAGACTGTATAGACTTTCAATGTTACGTTTTTACATTGGTTATAGACACATTCATAGAGTTTGATTTAGTAGTGATAACATTTACTGAATGAGCAATAATAGGTTCTTAAGCCATTTGTTGAGTTTTCTTTTGCATGTCGTCTTTTAGTAATGCTATTGCATTTTGTAATTCAAGTGAACGTTGTCGAAGATGATAATAGTCATTAGGATCCAAAACACCAGCTATCTACATCTAAATATAGATAAAATAATGAGAAAACCAAGAAAATTTAAAACTAGTTGGTTATTTATTCGTAATCACATATATTACAAAGAAAATGTTGAAAAATAAGATGATTTTGAATAAATCATAACACTCGTAGTTTTTATATTGTTAGTTATTAAATATTTTTTATTTACACGTAAAATTCATTATTTTAATTTGATAATAGATAGGAACTTTTCTCTTTTGTGTAATCAGAAATGTCAACTAAATGCATATAATCCGTTGAAGATATGTTTGCTTTGATCAAGTAGCGTTTTTGTGTATTATTCTTCTTCGAAAAGTATGTAGATTGCTTTTATTTGATTGAAAGAGAAACAGAAAGCATCCCTACCTGTAAGCAAGATTATATTTATCAAAAACTTTCAAGAAAGGCTCGGGTAAGAAGTTGTATTCGTGTAGTGAAAACTTTTGCAGCATAAGTGTTTCAAATAATCTTTGAGCTTTCCAATCTTTATCGAAATTACATATATTCAAATACTCTTTGAAGCATGTCAAATATTAAATGAAAAATCAGTCTCTTTCTCTACCGAATAAATAAGACTTAATTCAGTCGTATGATCAACTGCTTTTTTCAAAAATGAAATTGCATTATGTTCATACGAGTCTCTAAACAAAAGTCTACAGCATGAATTATAAACATCATTTTTCTCATTATAATCGTAGTGAAACGGCCACGAAAACACCAATTTTTGGACAATAGTTAAATTCGATCCATGAAAAATGAAATTTAACTTTATGTATAGTATTTGCTTTTTTTTTGTTTAAACTAATAATTGATTTTTATTTAACTTTTCTAGTGTTAGAACGATCAAGAAATAATCACTATTACTATAAAGAAAGTTTTTCGAATAGAATTTTATTGATGAAGTACTTTTGTGTTTTATAACACAGTATTCTATGGCTCTGAGGACGCCACTGAATATTAAAACTAGCATGCTAATAACTCACCGAACCGGTACTTTTTTTGGCCGAAATGTAATTCAAGTTTTTCACAACGACAAAGTTTAAACAGCTTAAGGAGTACGGAATCATTTCAGATGGATCCGATAAAAAAATTATGTAAAGCGTATTGAACTAAAATATGAGAGATGTGTTAGATAATATTGTACAACATTGAACAACTGATATATAACTTACCTGAATAGGCTGCTGTTAAAGTAGGATCATTTTTAGAAGAAATAACATTTGTAGCAATAAGAAACGATTTTAGTACAATATGTTGATCATTTATTTGACATCAATTATCATTAATAAATTTAAAATTTGTTCGAACCAACTTTTATTTGTTGTGCTGCACTAATATATACAATTTTGAATGGTCAACTAGTGATATTAGCTACGATGGAACAATAAATGCTGAAACGATCAATCATTATAAAAGTTGTGTTCCATTTAATTTCAAAATATGCGATAAGCCCGAATTTTATGGACAGGTCATTAGTCACACTATGGTCTGTTTCATTGTCCGATTCAGTATTCGAGTCTGCATTTATGCTGTCAACTATTTCTGTTAACTACGACTGCACAATTGTCATGAGATGATGATACTGAATTCTTGAATTGATATCATTCGTGCATTTTGTAACAGTTGTTTGATATTAAGTGGACTAAAAAGATTGGCTACACAGTTATATGCATTAAGAACACTATTTTCGATATAGGTTTTTAAGCGGGTTTGCTTTTGATTTTTTGTAACGTGGATAATTTATTAGTTCGAGCAAGACAATGTAAAACTGTAAAGTTCATCCCTGTAGAAGAAACACTGGGTATTGACCTAGTTGATCTTAATGTACTTTCGTTGGTTTAAGAATTTTGTAACTATATATTGAGAGTTTCAGAAGGAACATGCCCTTCAGAGACTAGTGCAGTCAGATAACTAAAAAAATGACCATTCATTTTAATAGAGAAATTTGATTGATATCAGATAGAATATCGACGCTTCGTTATACTTTTTCGGTCCTTAAACATGGTAAAGTCGGAGAATTGTGAGAAAATTAAATCAAGATTTTCTGCTTCAATTTTATTGATTGACAAATAAACACCGCTGTTCATGAATGAAATACACAACCTATTATACTTGTTTTTTTTCTGTATCAGAGAGTTGAATACTTTTCATAACTTGAAATATGCAACCACAATTAATTATCAATTTCTAATAAAATTTTATAACGATAATCTATGACTTCAGTAATATCTTTTCATCTAGTAAGTAAAGAATTATGTACTTCAAATAAGATGAAAACATTTTTACTAGATTCATAAAAACGTTCAAACTAAGTTAAGTCCTGAAGAAGAAGCGAACCATTTAATTTATCTTTAAAAATTGCGAATTGATTTCAAATAAACTAAATAATAATTTAATATATAATTAAACTAATAAATACATAAATGAAATAATGAATTCATAAAACTTAAAATTAAATTGTCACGTTTTGAAAAACGAAATTGTCTTCATCAGACATTAATGGACTATAAAGTTGTATATATACATATAATATAAATAACTATATGTTCTTGTTCTCTTTCTTTAGATGTTGTTATAAGTTTTAACACATGACAGTGTGATGGCAAGACAGTCGCAGAACTACCTACTCTTAGCTTTGTTTGGATAAAGATGTGCATAGATAACACAAAAACTCTCACCAAAAAAGTGGCTCCGAAGCCAATACCAACATCAGATCTAAAGATTTCAAAATTCATTGATCCACTGTTACTTTCTTCTTAAAGTTCTACTGTTAGTCGTTATTCATGTACTTTCTCTCCTCGCAAGTAAGTAAAAGATAAGTGAGAATGCCCAACGTAATTAATCAAAAGTGTTCACACTAACCGTCATGTGTAGTCTGAAACGTTTTGTATATCGGTCAGAACTGATCTAAAACGTGTTTACATTCATCATGTCTAGTCCGTTTTGTTTGTTCATTCCATCCGGACTAGTCAGTAGAACAGAAACGCAGAAAAAATAAATGAGGTAAGAGATGGATTCGAATATTTAATCCAACATCGAACGAGTCTTCTGATGACATATTTCATTCTAACGACAAACAGACGTCAGTTTAGACAGTCTAAACAGCACAGTAGTATTTTTTCATTCGATATATAACTACAATCAGTTAAACTAGTTTGTTTTTGAGAAGATATTGCCAATCTTAATCTAGACTAGTCTAATGTCTTAAAGCAACTATTTTGTTTGGCTTAACTATTCCTATAACTAGTTTAGATTAGTCCGTATAAGAACGAAAAAGCAGTCAATTATAATGCAAGTACTTTTTAAGCATTTTCATCATCTTTAGCAATCAGTAATGAATAATCCAGTACTTTCAGAATATAGATCAGATGCTAGAATGATAATCATTTCGCTTATATTTTTTGATTGAGAATCAACTGATACTAATGAAACAAATTAAAATAGACGCTTTAAAATGCTGCAGCGTCTTAAGATTCGGAATATGTTCAAGTCCAATATTCAAAATCGTATAGTATCATACGAAGACACTTTTTTCTCATTGTAATTGACAGTGTAATGAAATCTACTACATCATGATTATGAAAATTAGTATTTTTTCTTAAATTTCTATTGATATACATGTACATTGTTATTGGTGTTGTTGCTTTTTCTCTAACTGAACTACCAATAAGAAGAGACCTTCAAAATTAAGAATAATGTTAAAGGTTGGAAACATACTTAACAAATCCATGTTTTTATGTAACAGGTGGACTAGAATAAATAGTCCTATTTTTTATTTTATTTTTTCATCATCCAATGTATTTTATTAAAAGCAAAATATACTACAAGATGCAGCATGGAAAGCTTTACAATTTACAATACAAAGTTTATTTTATATATGCATCTTTTGTTTTCAACATAGACGAAACTATCTATGACCATATTTTGATGCTACGAAAAAGTTATTTCTTTGACATATGGCAGATTCCGTTTCTTATTTCATTAATTAATGTATCATAGTTTTTAACCTTATTCCACTGACTACGTTTCATAATTGTTTAGCAATTAGAATCGATGTCATGCATGATCAATCATTCACATAACCACTTTTCATAGGTCTTCATATTTCATTTCTTTTTATTCAGTAACACACTTATACAGATGAGATGTGTTATTATGAAGTTTGTATGTCTCTCTAACCAATAACATCAGTGTGTGAAAAAATATAATCAAAACACAATCAATTGGTCTAAAACTGGCCATCGATAATGACCTTTGATATGACTCATTAATCGAAGAAATAAGAAAAGGAATCCGCCGTGTACCAAAAAACTAACTATTTCGCAGCATCAAAATTTGGTCACGCAGAATTTTGTCCATATTAAACACTAAAAGTGCATATATAAAATAAACTTTGTATTGTAGATTGTAGAAATTTTCACGTCCCATCTTGTGATATACGTTGCTTTTTAACAAAATATATTAGATGATCAAAAATTACAATATAAAATGTAACTATTAATTCTAGCCCGCCGGTTATTTCATCATAAACTGTATACAACTTTGCAATTTTATTGCTTCATATCACAGAATATATTGAGCATCTCTCAGAAAAATAAATATTTGTACTCTTTTTATAGTAAAAGTACAACATTTTATTGAAGCACAAAGTAGATTAAAATACAAAGCACTCTGATTACTTCTTAACAAAGATTGCCCATTAATGTTCTTTAAAATTTCTTAGATTGTAAAGTAAACTAAACATCATTTAGCTTAAAAATAATTCTAATATCTTTATACGATAATTTCATTGCAGTTTAACTATAAATTCTGATCATTTAAATTGACAAAAATTTAAAATTAAAATAAACTTCAATTATGATGTGAGAAAAAAAAAGAATTTTTCGAGTTTTTAATTTGTCCAATTCAACTTTATGGAACTAATTCTATGTTCTATAATTCAAATTTTTTATTCATGCTTTAAAAAACTGAGAGAAATTGTATTAAGTAGCATCTTTGAATATTTGTTGATATGTAGAGGTTGATTATACTTGATCTTAGAGGTCAATCAGCTAACCGACCAATAAGTGATATATTGCATGTATGTTCTAATCTAATCTAACGTTCTTCCTTATAGTTCTATCATTTAGAAGAATCCAGACTCGATCAATACATTAGACTACAACTCGTTCTATTCAGCATCTCGGATGCGCTTCCTTTTTTGATTTCAAATTGCTTTTTGGACGGGTATAAGGACGGTGCAACACGCCTAGTCTTTTTCTCAAGAAGGCTAGACAGAGCAAAGAGAATGACAGCTGTCAGTTAAGCAACCAGAACGGTAGTTGTGGATTAGTTATGTTTTAGGACTTTTTGAAAAAAAAAGACTAGATAAGATGTATAGTCACGCCTAGAATAACAACTATTGTCCATTTCAAAATATAATGTGCTCCAGTGTTTTTTCAATAAGTTGAGAACGCAAGCAGCTAGAGATCTGTGATTTTCATCAATCGAAAGAGAAGACGGGGGCACGTCTTTTTCTCCAATATTGTATAAGACGAAAGTCATTTTAAAACCAGTAATTTCTGCAAAACACGACAAAAGGTGCATGAAAGCGATCTATCATTCCGATGAAATTTTGATTTTGGCATGTGATCTATAGAGAAGAACTTCAGATCTATAATTCAAGATCTAATTGGAATGATTATCTTCCTCTATCCTAATGTTGAGCAAATAAAGTCGTCTATTTACTTGCATGAAAGTCATGGAACTCTTTTGATTTTTAAGCAAATTTACTTATTGTCAAAATTTCATCTGAATGACAGATTGTCTTTGTACATTTTTTTGGGTGTCTTGCAAAGATGACTGATTTTAAAATGATTTCGTCTTATACAATATTGGAGAAAAAGACGTGCCCTAGTCTCCTCTTTCGATTTGTGAAAACCGCAGATCTGTAGCTGTTTGTGTTCTCGAGTTATTCAAAAAACAGTGGAGCACATTATATTTTGAAATGGATAATAGTCTTTTTATCCGTCCTTTGCTCACCTGGGCTGACCGTAACATTTTATTTGCACAATTTCTTTCTTTTCTGTTCTTTTACCGATGCAGACAGAACGCGCATGCTTTATATGGCGCTTGTTCTTTTTTTTTTATCGCTGGATTTTTCCATCGATTCCACCTAACATATTTAAAGTTCGACTCAAGAACATTTCAATCATTATTTTTGGCTGTTTTATAAAATGTTTCTTCAAGATGTTGTAGTTATTTGGCTCGATGGCACATTTGTAGGAGATAACTATCGATCAATGAAAGATGATTTTAACCAAAAACTTGGTTCGACAACTTCATCATCATCTTCTGATGAAATTGATTGTTTGATTTGCAAGGAAACAAAAGAAGATCTTGTTATAAATGGAGCTCCAGTTATTACTGTTTCAAAATCAGATGAAGCAATGCAGCAGATTGAAACTCATTCTAAAGCAAAAATTTTCTTCATTTCATCTGGGAGATTAGGCAAAGATATGGTACCAACAATCGTACGTCAATATCCTCTTATTCATTCGTTTTATATTTTTTGTTTTGACACGGCTACTCATGCTAATTGGGCATTAGACTATACTGATTGTCTTAAAATGTTCGATCATCCAATTGATTTATTAGTTCGACTTATGCGTGATATTTCGACTTACTTTATTGAACAAGGAAAATTATATTTGGAAATCAATGATCCAAATAACGCATTAAAATATTTTAAATATGCTTGGAATCTTGAAACACGAGCAAATCAAAAAGATAAGGTGCCACCAAATACAAAAAGCAAAGAAAAACCTACCGTACAACCAGATTGTCGCACTCGTCTCAATTTATTGGAAGGCGAAAATGGACTCATTCGTCAAGCTGAAAAGGCTTTAGGCAAATAAAAAAAGAAAAAAAACTTTAACTGTTCACTAATACAAATATAAAGTTTTTTCAATGCTTGTTGCTACTGAACTATATATTCACGGTGTTTTCTTTAAACATTAATCATTTATTGGTTCGCTTATTATTCTAAATAAAAACAACCTAATGATGTTGCTGCATTAGATAAAAACAAATACTAGATCATATACTCGTTTGACTTGATCCAACCATAGAACATTGAAAAGAATATGGATCTTAGGAAAAGTCTGTTCGAGCACATCTAATTTTAAAAAAATGAATATCTAACTAAGTTAAACGACAACGATTACGATAAAATGATTCATTCAGCAGGCTAGATATTCGTTAATTCTCAAAATGTATGATTGTTATTAGTAGCATTCGCTGATGTTGAGTACTGAGCAGTTGTTTTACAACAAAACAAAGATGAAACAAATGTCTTTTATTCCATCAGAATAGATAGGAACGGTAATTATATTATTAATAATGGAGAAAAGTGAAAACATTTTCAATGATCCAGTTACAAACAAACTATGTTCCTTAATAAGTGTCTGTTGCCATAGTTTCAAACATAATTAAGATTCAGTGGAAAAGTGTCTATATTAAATCACCTCTTTCAAATTTGATCTAAACTTATAAGTAGATTTGATATGTAATAAGGCTAATTGTTTTGTTGTTGAAAGCAAACAGTCAATAAATTCCTCTCATTGGTGGAAATAATCATGAAACAAATATATATATATATATATATATATATATATATATATTCTCTTGGAAACCTTTCAATATAAAATGATCAGCAGAAAGAATCAAGTTGAACAAGATCTTTTTCTGTAGTTTCTTATTTTCCTCACTCATATCAAAATTGAAATATAATAATAATTAAGAATATTTATTTTCTATAAAAAATATACATTTAATAAATAATGAATCAAAACAAAAAAGAAAATAACGAATAAATAAATTTTAAAAGTAATTGAATTTTTATTTAACAAAACAAATGAGATTTTTTCTTATGTGCTTTTCTTTAATCAAAGAGTGAATTGCAATATAACTGCTAAGTGAATTCTTGTTTGTATTTGTGATTAACACAATCTTATTAAAATCTTAAGAGGCGTATATATAAACAACGTTTTATTCGTGTATATTCTTTTCAAACAATAGAAAAACAATCATTACTATTAAGAATGATACTCTTTTCTCATTCAACACTATTTTTTGTCAAACTTCTTTTTTGTGTTCTTTTCTTGTTGTTGGTTTTCAACACAAAAAAATGAAATTTTCTTTGTTGGAATGTAAAAATTCAGAACAGCCGTCCGTTGTAGTTGGAGACTCATTATTTATTTATGATTAGACATTATGATATCATCGACCCACTCTTTATGAGTCCAGATGAAACAGAACAGAAAAAAATTGTTCGTAGATCCCAACTTAATTTTTCTTTCCAGCTATAAATAGCTTGAGGCATTGTCATTTAGTTTTTTTTTGTAAATATAATTTTATATTCAGTAGTTAAGTTCTGTTTTTTCGAACTATTTAAATACAATTCTATTTTTTCCTGTGATTACGATTATTCTCATCTTATCAATATGGTTGAAACAGAGATGCAAATTCCTGAAGATTATGATTATCCTACTCCAGATCATCTGATTATTTGGCTTGACTCTCATATTGGTAAGCCTAATGAATGTAAAAAATTAAAACAAGCTTTTGCTAGTAATATGGATCCATGAAGTCAAACTTGGACAATGTTGACTGATCCAGATTATGATAATCTTCTTCGTGCTAATGAAGCGATGCCAGGCCATTTTGCTGACGTACCCTTTCTATTGTCGGCCTTTGATGATCCAACTAGATGTTATGAATCTTTCCAACGCAATAAAGATAAACATATCTATTTTATTACTTCTGGAACTATGGGCAAAGACATTGTACCAAAACTTGTTGAAAATTATGAACAATTATTTAAAGATCCAATTACTAATAATTCTTATTATTCAATTTATATTTTCTGTGGAAATACAGAATATCATATGAATTGATTATACAGAGTTCGAGAATATGTACAAACATTTAATCACGAGGCCGATTTATTAGTATGTATGACGCGTAATGTTGCTGATTATTTTGTTGAACAAGGTCAACGGTGTCTTCAAAATACACTTCTTCGTTACAAATGGTCAAAAAAACTCTTTACTCAATATTCTAAAATGGAAGGAATTTGTCGACAAAAAAATGCAACATGTCGAAAAAATGATGACAGATATACAAAAAATCCTACAACCACATATAGCTAATCCTCATGTTGATGGAAATTATTTCAATGAGAACAGCTGTAATGATGATGGACGACCTAGTGAACCTTGTAACTGATACTTGACCGTTAACTTTTATTTTGTTTTTTTGTTTTATCTTATCTTATGCTTTTTATTAATTATAAAACTGTCAATTTTGTTCTTCAAATAAGTTTCTCCTGTCGCAGAAAATCGAAAAGATTGACAGCTACTCAGCCATTGAACTGGGACTGTCAGAAAACAAAACAATTATTTAAAATATGTTTAAATAACAGTTCTGTTGATACTCGAAATATGCTGCAAGATACATCGTAAAATGGTGCATCTCGTGATGTTTCGTAATTTTAGAAAAAAAAACGGTTAGAAGAACAATTTTTTAGCCAAAATTAGAAAACGATCCAAAAGATTCTTTTTAGCAGCTCGATGCTATTGGAGATAATGTAAAGATTTTCGTTGTTCGGTTTAAATGTCACATCATTTTGTTTAGAATTAAATTTTGCATCCGCTGATATAATCATAAAACGATAATAAAGCACGAAAACTTTCAAAAACACGAATTCCGAAAGTGCATTCAAAAGAAAATATCATCAGGTGTTAGTTCCGAGCTTTTTTCATCTGAAAGACATCACTAGAAGCCTTGCGAAGATCTTGGAAGTATAGAGTATTAAATTCTCTATCCTGTTGATGCTAAATATTTTATATTTAGCATCGAACTCGATGAGAACAAGCTTGCACAAATCGTTAGATATCTTCAGAAGATCCCAGAGAAGCAACCTTCAATCTTTCGTATTTTTTGTCGGCAATATAAACTTGTTTAAAAACAATGAAGTCCACAGTTTTGTAGAGTAAAAGATTCTGTACTGAATGAGCTAAGATTGGTCCCTTTGAATAGTATTCTCGTTCTTCAAGAACGAAATCTTAAAACTGTCTCATTATTTATGGGTCTCTTGTTATTTAGCTAATATATTTGAATGATTAAGAAATATGGAAAATCTGTACTATTAGAAAAATATTGCTCAATATGTTCGCTCTCTAAGTCTTTGCAAAGTTGCAGTCTCTCAGGAACTGATTGATAAGCTCGTCGACGTAACTCCACTGGCAAGATTAGTATACACCTAGATACTGATCATATGCTGCATCTTCGCCCTAGTGTACACAATATAAATATGAGATTTAACTGATTACGTACAAAAAAGAAATCGAAACAAATCTACTATGTTGCTCTACGTTTGGATCATCATACTTTGATTTTTTCTTTTTAAGTTAGTGAGGTCAAAATTTACAGAAGAATGTTCGAGAAGGAATTCATATTTCGTTGATATTTTTTTTCTACTGTATTAAATTTCCGTTTTATTTCTTCATTACTTGGTTTATTCTGCCTAGAAGCATTTATATATTTTTTTCGTCGATCTATTGTCACATGAGTATATGAGAAAACAAATGTCAATCAATATAAATTTAGTTTTTGTTTAACTGACTGAAAGTAAATACTATTGAGTCGTGTTATTTTAATGTTTTACACTTCGATGAAATAATAATTTATTTGCATTCTATTGAGATTTGAATTTAGAATGAAAACAGCCAGTAATTACTGAGATTAGACCTGATCATGTTATTATTTGTCTAGATAAAATAACTATGAGTAAAAGTCGAAACAATCGATTCAGTTACAAAGATCTTTTCAACAATACTAATCTAAATGATTTATTATCAAATAAATGTTTACTCGATATTGACAATTTTATTAATAGTGTTGATTAAAATATGAATCATGAAAATTTAAAAGATAGATTGTAAAACTAACGTTTACATTAAAATATCTAATTTCATTTACATCTTTTCATGCTCAAATGTATTTACATAAATAAGCTTATAATTATCTGAATGATATTCAAATGTATGGTAAAGAAACAGTTCTTTTATTTTTCATCTGATTGTTATGAAATATTAGTAAATATATTTAATTAAATATCTTACATGAGTTCGACAATTAGTTTTACGTCTCAATTAATTCAACAAGATCAGTGAACAAACATTACTCAAAAACACAAATGATCAGCTTGCTTTACTAGAATAATTTCAATCAAATAAGATAAAATACAGATGACGACTACTGAAATCAATAAAATACTTATTTCTTTTCCTTTCGACGTTGTGTGCATATGAATTACTAACATCTTTCTTCTCAATTATAGGTCCATCCGAACTAGACTATAGTAATGAACATAAGTTTGGAGGAGTTGTATTTTTAAGTTTGTTTCTCGATGGTAATGGCTAGCAAGAATCTTAAAAAACCATTTGTGCAGCTGAAAGGATTTTTCATTCAGATTGGCAGGCTCGAAGATTACAACAAAATTGCTTGAACGAGAGTCTGTGGAATACCAAGTCTCCAAAAGCAGCTTCCTTTCTTCCATTCGAAGCTTTTGAAAAAGATTTTATTTGATAGAGCAAATAATTCTAAGTAAAATAATGTGTTTTCGATTTCTCCATGACCTTCCTTCATTGAACTGCATTCAATTTACACAAAACCCAAGAAGCATTTTTCTCTTCATTTTATTGAAAATTTTAATGTTTTTGCCATGTTTGACGCTTTGGGATCTTTTGTAAATTGAATGCAGTTCCATGAAGGAAGATCATGGAGAAGTTGAAGACATGTCATTTTACTCAGAATTATTTATTCTATCAAATAAAATCTTTTCCCAAAAAATTTCGAATAAAAGTCAGAAAGTTGGTTTTAGCGGTCATGATTTTTCCGCAGATCCTCATCCAAGCATACTAGCTATTACTATCAAGAAGAAAACTTAAAGATACAATTATTCCACATTGATGTCTATCACCATAAATATCTTATGCAAAGACTAGACATATTCATTAGTTTACACTTTTCATTAATAGTAAATATAGAATGTCCTTCCTATAGAACGTTTACTTTCATTCTTCATGCAATGATCAATATAATTTCAAATATTTAATGTAACATTTATATTAGTTCAAATGTCAAAGCTTTTATTTATCTTTGAAATCTTTTTTTTTAAAAAGATTATTTTGTAAGTCTTCGATCTATGAACTTAATATTAAAATCAAAAAATTCTTTTTTAGATGGAAAATTGAAAGAGAATACATCAAAAAAGAAACCTATTTGGATGATGGATTCCAAATTTCAAAAAAAGGATCCCATTCAGGATTTGTATGTGGTTCATATTCCATCATATTAGCTAATTGTTTAGCAATATCCGATGAGAATACAGTAGCAATAAATGCATAAGTCATATCCATACCAGCTGCTACGCCTGAACTTGACCAAATATTGCCATCCACTACCCAACGTGCTTTCGGAACCCAATCAACATCCTTATTATTTGTTGCCAATGACCAAGCATATTTGTTTGATGTTGCTTTTCGTCCATTGAGAATACCAGCTGCTGCCACCATCAATGATCCTGTACATACAGAAAGTAAATATTTAAGTGTTGGATATCGTTTCTTAGTAAATGAAGTAACTTCATTGAAAATGATTTCATCTCGTGTACCCAATCCACCTGGAACTAATAGAATATCTAATTCTGGTGCATTATTAAATGTATGTGTTGGTAACCATGTTTCACCAATACGACAAAATTTGCTTTCAGGCATTGTATGTTTGGGTGGTACAGTACTTACTGAATCCATCGTTCTGGCAATAATACTTAATTTGAATGGTTCTATTACACTAAGTTGATTGAAAAATTGCAATGGACCAGCAACATCTAATAGTGCAAAACCAGGAAAGATGACAACACCAAGTCGAGTTATAGTCTCCGTCATATTTATTGACTATTGATTACAATACAACCATGTTGATTTTGTGTTCTATATACCCAATATTTTTTTTCTTTTCTTGCCTTTCATAAGACACGAGTAATAAAGAAGCAACAGAACGACACACATGTTTTTTCTCTCTCTTTCACAGCTCATACTGTACTTTGTCGCAAAACGAAAAGAAAAAGTTGGTTGTCTACGGTCAGAGTTACATTGTTTGACTATACACTAATTGAAACCTTGAATTGTGATTCCGATAAGTCATTTTTCATTAACACTCCAATATTCCTATCTTGTCATTGAGAATGCAACCCTCGATTTTATCTTTCATCAAAAGAATGCAGTTAACGGATATATTTTAATGCAGCGTTTTTTTTCTCTTCGCCATATTGTTCTTATCTTATATTTCATATATATATATATATAATAAGCATCTCGAAAAGTTGTATGTCATCTAGGTGTATTTGCGACCTATTAATACGCGGCCATAGCAAATGTAGTACAGACAGAATAGCGAAACAATATCAAGAAAGGCACTTGTACGCGACACTTGCAGTTTCGATACGGGCTCGAAATCACTTCAATAGTAGTGAATGTAAAAAATTATTCTCTTTCAAACTGTATATAAGATTTTGACCAAAAAAGTGTCTCGCATATATAGATGGTGCTATTTATCACTATCATTAAGGTATTTCTGTAGCGATAGGTCATCTGTGTTATATCAAAATGAAAGAGAACGTAAAGAAATTCTCGACGAAAAGTTGCTATTGATCCAAATAAGCCATTATTACGCCCTTGCCACCACCGATCAACGATGATCTCGAAAATACGACTTGGACTTAAAAATAAATTATATTAAAATGTCTATCTCTCTTTATTACTTCGAATGATAAGAATAAGAATCTTTAAAAAAGTATTTCGACATATGGCGCTTTCCAAGTGCATAAATGTACGAAAAACTAAAAATATCTAGTATCATATATTTTTATCAGCAAGAATACCTTATTATATCATGTCACTAATAGCCAAAACGCGATGGCTATATAAACATATCTTGATATTGAGGTGAAATAGATAAAATAAAAAGAACACATACTTTTTTTTTGTGTCCACCTTTCTTCGGGTATATAAATGTACGTTGTAAGATACAAAACCAAATAGTGTCGTCAAAATGATTGATAATCGTCTCTTCGTAATTATTATTATTATTGGTTTTTCATTTACATATTCGGCCGTCGTTAATTCGAATTCAAATAAATATTCGAAAATTTCAAGTAGAACATGGGATCAAGCCATTGCAATGGCTAAAACATTTGTTTCACAATTAACATTAGAAGAAAAATGTAACATGACATCTGGTATTCCAGGTCCATGTGTTGGTAATGTTTTTCCTGTATCACGTTTGAATTTTAATGGACTCTGTTTCCAAGATTCACCATCTGGTGTTGGTGATGGAGTTTTACATTCAACTGCATTTGTAGCTGGTATACATATTGCAGCTACTTGGGATCGAGACTTATTCTATAAACGTGGTGTTGCAATAGGTAAAGAATTTCAAGGTAAAGGAGTTCATTTTGCTTTGGGTCCAATGATGAATATTGATCGAAATGCTCGACATGGTCGTAATTGGGAAGGATTTGGTGCTGATCCATATCTTTCGGGAGAAAATTCATTCTATTATGTTCAAGGTATTCAAGATCAAGGTGTTGTTGCAACTGCTAAACATTATATTTGTAATGAACAAGAAACCAATCGTTTCTATGGTATATCAAGTATAATAAGTCAATCAAGTTCAAGTAATTCTAAAGGTTATTCAGCCAATCTTGATGATAAGACAATACATGAAATTTATCTTTGGCCATTTGCATCTAGTGTAGCTGCTGGTGTAGGTTCTATTATGTGTTCATATAATCAAATTAATGGTACACAAGCTTGTCAAAATGATAAAACATTAAATGGACTTTTGAAAGAAGAACTTGCATTTCTTGGTAATGTTATGTCTGATTGGGGTGCAACAAAAACTGGTGTTGAATCAGTTTTAGGAGGTTTAGATGTAGATATGCCAGGTGGTGATGGACTTATGGGTTTTGCACTTGTACAAGCTGTTCAAAGTGGAGTAATTACAGAAACAAGAATTAATGATATGATTACTCGAATTTTAGCACCTTATTATCTTCTCGAACAAGATCAAGGATATCCATCACTTGATTTAGATCGAGATGCTATTGGTGATAATTATAAGATTAATAGACAAGTTGGTACTGCTGGCATGGTTTTGCTTAAAAATAAAAACAACATTTTACCATTTAACGTTACTACAGATAAATATTTTTTTATTTATGGAACAGCTGCCGGTCAATCTGATGAAGGTTTTAGTTCAGGTGGTTCGGAACAGCATGCAGGTGCATTATATCAAGGTGGAGGTTCGGGCTTTGTCGATCCGACGTATGGTATTGATCCTCTTACTTCACTTTTGATAAAAGGTCGAGATTCACATCTTCAAATTCGATATATTACTAATCAAAATGATTATAATGCTATTAATAATTCATTCAATTACCGTGGCTTTTCTAATGCAAAATGTCTCGTTTTTATTAGTGCTTGGTCATCAGAAGGATCAGATAGAAAAGATCTTCATGCTTTAAATAATGGTGATAAACTTGTTCAAACTGTTGCTTCTCATTGTACTAATACTGTAGTCATTGTTAATAGTGTTTCACAACTTAATCTTGAAGCATGGATTGATCTTCCCAATGTAGTCGGTGTTATTTGGTCAGGTATGCCTGGATCTGAATATGGACCAGCTATTGTCGATGTTCTCTTTGGTGATTACAATCCAGGAGGTAAACTTATTTTTACATTAGCTAAAAATGATTCTGATTATGGTACTGACATTAGTGAAACATATAATTCCAATTATACTGAAGGTGTTTTCTTAGATTATCGTCATTTTGATAAATATAATATTGTACCTCGATATTATTTTGGATATGGTCTTTCATATACAACTTTTTCCCTCTCTAATCTTAATATTTCAAAAGCTAGAAGAGGAAAATATACTGCTTCATCACAATATCAACAAAATCGAATGAGATTTTATATTAATATTGCCGCTTTAAGAATTTATAGACCCGTCTATGAAATAACATTTACTATCACTAATACTGGTAAATTTTATGGTTCCGAAGTACCTCAACTCTATCTTGGATTTCCAGATGAAGCACAAGAACCACCAAAAGTATTACGAGGCTTCGAAAGAGTATATTTAGTACCAGGTGAATCAGAACAAATATCATTAGTATTAACACAAAAGGATATTTCATATTGGAATGTTATTAATCAAAAATGGACTGTTGCTTCTGGTGTTTACACAGTTTGGATTTCAACATCTGCTAATAATGCTGACATTAAACTTCAAAGTTCTTTTACGATTTAAATATCTTTCAATAAAAGATTATATTCTATGCTTTTTTTTTCTTATTGTACATAAGCATGTTGATCGGAAGAGGTCAATAACTACACGAAAAAAAAACATTCAACTTATTTCGAATTTTTCGTAGCTATTAGATTCTATATATTGTCATGAAAACATCATGTGTTTTTATTTCAACCGTTTTCGACTACAATTAAATTGAATACAGATATAAGTAAAATAATAAAAAAATCATACTCAAGTAGATCTCAATTCTAAATAACAGATAGTTATGACTAGAATCCGTTGGGTTGGATCCAGGTCCAGATCGGAAAATTTTAGATCTATGAGCTCTAGTCATCTGTGAAATGTAAGGGTACGTTAGTCACCGAATACTAAAAGTAGCTTTTATCTGCGGGACGACTATCGAATTCTGATTAGAAAATTTCATTGAGAGCAACGAAGTACGTTTCGGCTGGGTGCAGGATGTCAAAGACGTTCAATAAACAGGATCCGGACCCGACCAGCTCTGGTTACCACACATCAACCAGCGACATCTTCTAAAAGTTTATTTTTCTGTTTAATTTATTTTTGAATGTTTGAACTAAATAGTTTCATTATGATTTTCAAACTTATTGGCAATGTTAAGGATTTATATAAATTTTAAGAGAACCTCATCGGTTGTCTTGGAGTATTTTACTGGACAGATGCCCGATGTCCACTTAATAGTGTTTATTGACCGATGCTTAAATTTTACGATAAATTATGGTTCGTTTTTAAATTGATCCATAGTTTTTTTTTAAGTTTTTTTTTTCTTTATTTTAGGAAGGTCCAAAGCTAGAAAAACAATTCAGAAGTCATCGTGGTACAGTTACATCTATTAGTTTTTCACCTAATAAAAAACAACTTGGTATGTCTATTATTATTCGTTAAAATAATAAGTTGCTTGAAATTGAATGATTGATTATTTTCTAGTATCAGGTAGTTTGGATTCATGTCTTTTTCTTTGGCCATTTAAACCTCAAGTTCGAGCATATCGTTTCGTTGGTCATAAGGTATGTTAAATATAATTCAAAAAATATTTCTTATTTATTTTTTTTAGGATGCTATTTATTCTGTATGTTTTTCTCCATCGGGTCATTTAATTCTATCGGGTTCAAAAGATAAAACAGTACGTTTATGGATTCCAAGTGTAAAAGGTGAATCAACTGTTTTTAAAGCTCATACAGCTGCTGTTCGATGTGTTGATTTTTCAAATGATGGTCAAAGTTTATTAAGTTCATCAGAAGATAAAACTATTAAAATTTGGACCGTTCATCGACAAAAATTTCAATATTCACTTAATCAACATTCAAATTGGATTCGTTGTGCAAAATTTTCACCTGATGGAAAATTAGTTGTTAGTTGTAGTGATGATAAAACAATTAAAATATGGGATAGAAATACAAATGAATGTATACATACATTTTATGAACCAAATGGATTTCTTAATAATGTTGCTTTTCATCCAAGTGGAACTTGTATTGGTGGTGGCTGTACAGATTCAAGTGTTAAAATTTGGGATATAAGAACAAGAAAATTGATTCAAAATTATGCAAGTAAATATTTTTCTTTTGATTCTTTATCTACTGAGTGATAAATAGGTTCGTGAGATTTGTTCATTTTCGCATGGCTAGAAAATATTTCCGATGAGTTAAAAGCTATGAGTTTATGCTTAGAAATCTTGTTTCTGCTTTTGTTTAAAAGTGGTGGAATAATTTTTGAATAGTTCAAAAAATTAGTTTGAACGGAAAATTTTTGTATTTTCACTATTACGATTCGAAACTAAAAACTGAAATCTTTATATATTACCTTGTAGATCAGAAACTATACTACATAATACACTATTCTTTTTGTCTTCCGACAAGACACCTCAATTTTCATTTTTGAAGAATCGACAACTGTTTTACATCGAAACGCGTCCTTAAAAAAAATGCTAGTAGCCTCACTTGGATAAAAGCTACAGCTTAATTCAATATCAAATTTTGTAGAAAAGTGTTCGCTCGACAACACGACCGACTCTAACAATTTTTTAGAACACGATCTAAAAGAAGTGTTGAAGTATATAGAGTAGAAATTTGTACCCCCCCCCCCCGCTAGGGAGCTGCGGGTCCGCGTTTTTGTGAACCTGGATCTGAATAAAGTTTAAAATTTAGACCCGGACTCGATCGGGTCCAAATCCGAGGTTTTTTCCATCAATATCTGGGAAGCAGCGAGTCCACAAAAACGTGTAACCGAGCCCAACAAAAAATAAAATTATGAACCCGGACTCGAAAAAAAATAAAACTTTGGAACCGAATCTGGAACTTCCTAACCCCATTCCTCCGTCCGCATCATAGACTGTCACAGACGTTGTTGATATATGAACTACTTCCTTATTGCATTTTTGGAGGATTAATTAAAAGGACGTTGAAGAATTGATAGAATAAAACAGTCTCTCTGTGACTAGCAACAATAGTTACATCGTGTTTCATATTTTTATCCCACAGGGATTGCTCTAACAGTTTTTTAGCATGTTCAAGAAGAAACTGATAAAATAAATGAAAACCGATTGGCTCACCATTAAAAATAATTTTTCAGACCTTTCAAAAGTCTCTTACTACTTTTGAACAAAACTAGGTACACTATTTCTAATTCCATATTCACAAAAAGCAAAATTTCGTCTGAAATACTTTCTAGTAGGTCAACAATAAATAACCATCTTTTTTAAAACCTCCTCGATCGCCTGTTATTTTTTCTGTAAATATTGAAAATAATATTGTTTTTAGATCATGTGGCATCCGTAAATGATATTTCGTTTCATCCAAATGGAAATTATCTTTTAACAGCATCAAATGATGCTACGTTAAAAATTTTTGATTTACTCGAAGGACATCTTATTTATACTTTACACGGCCATCAAGTAAATTCAATATTTAATTATTTCATATTATCATCTCATAATTTCTTATAAGGGACCTGCAGTGAGTACAGCTTTTTCAAAACAAGGAGATTATTTCGCATCAGGTGGTCAAGATCAACAGGTATATATTGAATACATATGCTGTAAAAAAAATATTTTTTATGGTTTTTTTTACCAAGGTACTTGTTTGGAAAACAAATTTTGACGTAAATTCTCCATTAGTTGATTCAACTAGTAATAAATATGCAAATAATACTGATTATATTACAACATCACGAATTTCATTAGAAGATCCAGAGCAAACTAGATCTCAAATAACATCATTACAAGAAAAATCTCAACCAGAAACAAGTGACGAACGACGAGCACGAAAAGTAAATGTTAAAAAAACAAAAGAATTATAAAGATGCAAATGTATATCGATTATCTAATACATTTAGATCGATGTGTTCAATGAAAAGCCTACAATGTCTATGCATCGTGATGATCATGATGATCGTGTAGAAATAACAAATATTGAGTCAACTGATAAAAATGGTATTTCTCGGGTAAGATAAAAGTTTTCAGAATGATCTAAAAATCAAAGATCATCTCATGATATTATTTGATTTTGCTCAGAAATTACTGATTTCAAAAAAAGAAAATAAAGAACTTACCAATTATTTGTATAGATCTCTTCTCTGTCTTACTCGATCATAGACTATTTCACTTCTTATCAGATCACCAAAAAAAGAAAGGTGATGCATTATTCTCTTTAGTCAAAAAGTGCTTCACTTAATTTGGCCAATTCAACTGCTATATCAAATAGAACAAATCAACATAATCATTCGATATATGATAGTGAAATGAATGATCAACAATCATATTCATTTCAATTAGCAAATACAATTGATCATATTGTTCAACAATTGGATGTATTAACGAAAACTGTATCAATACTTGAAACAAGATTAACAATGACTGAAAGTAAAATACAAGATATTAATAATATACAAAAAAATAGCAAATAAAAATTCTGAAATGTGTCAGATTTATCTTTTTTTTTTCTAATATCATATCTCAATTCTTATGATTCTCTTTTTGTGCAAACTTTAGTTACTAGTGATTGAATATGTTTTTTTTTGTAATATCTTACTATGGTGAAAAATCACCAAAAAATAAATTACATGCTAATCTGTTACAATATGTAGCTTGATTATAATCAACTTAAAGTGTTGAAATATTTATCTCCGGATGTATAATAAGCAACAGAAGTAGTAACTAATCCTACACATTCACTACTACAAGTTCATATTATACCGACATAATTTTTACCATGCATAACAACGTGAAAAGATTATCCCATTGAAATACTTTATTGAATAACCATACCTCATAGCACTATCAGTATAAATTGCTAAATAATAGCAGACTTTTTGAATATGATAATAATCACTATAAACGATTGGAACTATGAAATTTTATTTATTCGTTGTAATAATATCTATGATTAAATAAAAATTTTTAAGAATAAATTCTAAGTACGATTGATAGTTCAGTTTTTTTGCAAAATCTTCTTTTTACTGTTCAGCATGGTTTCTTGTTGTTCTAGTGATGACTGATATTGTGATAGTGCTTGTAATCATTATAGAAAATAGAACAAAAAAAAATCAGGCTTCTTTTGATGAAAAGAATCTTCACAGGGATAGTTAATATTATTTATTTATTTTGATGAAAATAAACGAATGTTGTCAAATTTTTGCAGTCTTAAAAAGATAATTAATTAAACTTGTCGTTTCATTAATATATAGATTGACACATTCAAAGTTGCAGGAATAGTAATAATAATTGCTAAAGCATTTACTAAATCATTGATTTTTAAATAATTAATCATTAATGAAAATAAAATTATTTAAACATGTAATATCTATTTTAGAATACATATGAATAACGAAACCGTTGAGATTTCTGATCAGTTTTGTATGTTAACATCATGTATGATGAAATTTTATGGAAGATGTATTGATTCTAAAATGTAATCATCTGGAATCAGGATTATTTCAAGTACAAGAACAAATATGAAATTTCATAAGTAAAGAATATT